TGCGCAGACCTCACTCGATAGCTCCCAACGACGCACTGGCGTCTGCGGACTGTTTTAACCAGACACACATTCCTCGTGTATAGGCTCTCAGCCGGCAAAACTGGACTCGCCGCGAATACTCGGAGCAAATACAAGCCCTATGTATAAGAGATGTGTATAAGAGACAGGTCTGGCTCTGGCCAGTGGCCACATCCTGAACCACATAGAGTGGCATTAGTTTAAAGCTCATCACTTGTCATATTGTTATTAGCAAAAATAGAAGCACTTTTTAATTGTATCCCATAGATGTGTATAAGAGACAGCTATAGAATTTATCTCCATGTGTTGTCATTGTTCCTTTGCTAACTAGTTCGCTGTTCTGACTTTGAGAACCGTAAATCACGCGCCGTTTACCGCCACTCTGGCATAAAGTCAACCTGGCCAATTTCTAATATTTATCAGAAGGTAGAAAGTCGATGAGTTAACTCAATAAATTTACGACGAAAAGTGGTATTTCAGATTTAAATTCGTGGCCAAGTAGAAATTATTAACGATCTCGAAAAGAGGTAAATATTAGGGAGAATTAGGAAGTCTTAGACTTTATAACAAACCTACAAACCAAGTTTATTCACTAGGGGGGGACCCAAATTGGAATAAAAACTTTGACTGGGTAATGATGGTATTTCAGGACTTATTGCTGCTGCACTTATAGTACTACCGACGCAATTAATTTATTAATTATTATTAATTGAACGAATGCGTAAAAAATCTTTTGTTGGCCTCTGGGGTGCGCCTGAAATTTATAATTGGACTTTAAATGTCACTCATTTTCGTGGCTTCTTCGATTTTTGAAGTTGAACATTAATGACTTACTTGGTAGCACCAACGCAATGATAATCTATTTATACTATTTGAAAAAAATTAATTACAATTCATCAACAATAATATCAGTCTGTGTGACGTGCATAAAATTTTTCGTTATTTCACCGTTTGTTTTATTGATATGCATATCCAGTTGCATTTGTTTATTATAAATTGGACATTTAATTAAAAATTTGCATACATTATAAACCGTTTCTCATCCAGTCACCCTAATTTTATACATAACCATATTATTTGGACATCTGATTCGTATTTTGTGGAAAACCTATTAGACTCCCTAGCAGACTGCCTAATACCTTCGTATTCTTTCCTATTTATGTCCGTAACCAATTCGTGTTTTGATTTCACGTTCTTTAGCTGTGAACATCAATTCCGTCTTCACATTGTATTTTTTTTCTTCATACGTTATCTTATTAATTCACTTCAGTATCGTTTACCTTGCCCGGGCTGTGACCGGCTTCTATATTTTCTTATCAGTTCAATTCAGAATCGTTCACTCTACCCGGGCTGTGCCAGCTCATATATTTTCTTATCAGTTCACTGCAGTATAGTTCACCCTGGCCAGGTGGTGCCCAGCTTCTATTTTGTCTTATCAGTTCACTTCAGTATCGTTCACCCTTGCCAGGTGGTGCCCAGCTCCAATTTTGTCTTATCAGTTCACTTCAGTATCGTTCACCCTGGCCAGGTGGTACCCAGCTCCAATTTTGTCTTATCAGTTAATTTCAGTATCGTTCACCCTAGCCAGGTGGTGCCCAGCTCCTATATTTCCTCATCAGTTCACTTTAGTATCGTTCACCCTGGCCAGGTGGTGCCCAGCTTCTATATTTCCTCATCAGTTCACTCTAGCATCGTTCACTCAGCCCGGCTGGTGTTCGGCTCCTATATTTTCTTATCAGTTCACTTTAGTATCGTTCACCCTGGCCAGGTGGTGCCCAGCTCCTATATTTCCTCATCAGTTCACTTTAGTATCGTTCACCCTGGCCAGGTGGTGCCCAGCTCCTATATTTTATTATCAGTTGACTTCACTATCGTGTTCACCCTGGCCAGGTGGTGCCCGGCAGCGGCAGGGGCTGGCAGTTGGTTACGCTCACACGACGCGCCGACGGCGCAGCGGCAGAACTCCGAGCCAAACAAACGCTGGACTACGAAGACCCTGAGCAGCGTGGTACCTTGAGGTTCCAGGTGCAGGTTACCGACCAGGTCAGAACCTACGCTGAGGATCAGGGCCATACTTTCAAAGAAAGTATAAAGAGATCGTAAGTACGTACTTAAGAGATCGTAAGTTCATCAGCCAATCATTGACGGCCTTTCAAGCAAAATCCACCAATCATAGATAAGAAAATAGAGCGTAAGTACTTACGTTCACTTAGCGAATTTTGAAAGTATGGCCCAGCATTATTGGAATCATTGTGAAGGGACTTGTTTTCGTAAATGGAATACATCATTGACCTGTGCTTGTACCTGTGCGTACATATTATGTATTTACATTATTGTATCACCTAATCAAGGTCACTTACCAAGTTTTGGCGTGCTATGCGTAAATATTATAACCCTCTGTTTCATTGAATACCCATACTCAATTATACTTACTAAATGAGTCACCGTTCGAATTACAATCATTTATTTTTGGGGAAACCTCCTTAAAGATATGCAACCAGCAGTTATTTTTAATTAATAGACATTTTTTCATCATAAGAAGCGTTCTCACATTGGATGAAGGTGACGTCTCATTGTTGTTTCATCCGTCAAGCTCTTTATTTTCATCTCTATTTGATTAACAGCTCACTCTAATGTGATTGCCTGAATTTTAGTCAACTTTTTCTACAAACTTTGCTTTTTCGTTATGAAATATTTATTTCTTGAAATGAAATATACTGCTAAAAACCATATCAATGCCAGGCAAGATTTTACAAAGATCGGTCGGCGAAGCTTGGTAAATTATAATCCTTATCAAATATATAACCTAATTTTTAGTATACATTCATTTTTAGCGCATTTTCTCATTAATGGAAATAATGCACTATTGTGCCCGCCATGTCCGTCCGTCCGTCTGCCCGTCCGCCCGTCCGTCCGTGATTTCACATTTTCGTAGACGAGAAAATGCGCTCTGTGTCACTCACTGCAGTGAGTACTGAGTTATTATATTTTTTAACATTGTCATACGTGATTACATGTGTTGCTTCCTCAAAATCATGACTTTTTTAAACCAGGGAGAAGACAAATGGTACGACAGGTACAGACTTGGCGTGTCGTACGTCAGCCTCAAGGTAAAGAACGTGAACGACAACACGCCCTTGTTCACTGCGGGCGACCGCCAAGCCATAACGCTGCCGGAGGACGCTCCGGTTGGTGGTGTTGTTGCAAGGCTACCGGCCGCGGACGCCGACGCGGTGAGTGCACACAGAGAAACAAGTCAGGCTTTAGAATAGAAGTGTCGGCACTAAAGAAATAGGCCCATGGTCTGTTGCCGATTCTTGAACTTTTCGTAACTTGATTCACAAGGGATCCAGCCTTTGGAACCTGATCTTTCCATAACTGACGATTGATTGAGATAGCTGCTGGACTTATTGCCTGGTCCGTAAAGCCTTTGTCTAAATATCCATGCAATTTTACCCCTGGGGTGGGTCATCCTGACTCAGTTTGGCTCTACGAAAGCTCTTAACAGTGCTACGAGCAGAAAATGTCATTATTTGGACAAGATGTCCTATTCGTTTTTACGAGTGTAGCTTCTCGTACGTGGGAACTAGGGTACTCACTGCAGTGAGTGAGAGAAAAATTATAACTCAGTACTCACTGCAGTGAGTGACAGAGAGCGCATTTTTTCGTCGACGAAAACGTAAAGTCACGGACGGACGAACAGACAGAAGGATGAAGGACATGACGAGCACAATAGCGCCTTTTTTCCATAAATGAGAAAATGCGCTAACAAAAAAGGCTTTGTCTAAATACCCATGCAATTTTTACCCCTTGAGTGGGTCATCCTGACTCAGTTTGGCTCTACGAAAGCTCTTAACAGTGCTACGAGCAGAAAATGTCACTATTTGGACAAGATGCCACATTCGTTTTTACGAGTGTAGCTTCTCGTACGTGGGAACTAGGGTAGTTTAATCCACTATTTTTTGTATTTAATTATTGATGTTCTGTGTTGTTTTTGTGTAAATAACAAATAAAAATAAGTAGGAAAACGTGTTATTTTCATTTGGGTTATCGTGGTTAAACCTTTCATATACGCTGACGATTTATTGTCTAATTTGGGAATATTCCTTCACATGGGGTAACTCTTTCTCAACATATGGGGATCTTTGCTTTCCGTGGTAATTTTTACAGTAGTTATAAGGGGAGACGAAACTGAAAGAATGGGTGAATAGGATACGATTATTGTCTGTAATCTTTTGGCAGAAACACGAGATGCCAGGTAATAAGCATGTAGTATTGTTATACCGATTATTATAGTTTTATTATATAGATTATTTTAGTTTTAAATCTTTAATTCTCGACTTTCTTAAATTTTCGTATTCACTGCTATTTTGCATCTTGATGACAAGCGCTACATAATTTACATGCGCTGCCTAATTTATCACGAAATTTTACTGTTTAAAAAAAATTCTTCTATGTGAAAGATTAATTTAAAAAGTTGTTTTATCGTAGCTATGCAGTGCAGGCTTCACAGCCTCAATTAACTTCTTTTTGGCCCTGTAGATTTTACTTAACGAAACTATCAACTAACCAATAATGGCTAGTAAAATGTAATATATTAATATAATGAATGCAACTTGAACATTTAAATAAAAATTTGTATTTTAAATTTTTTGTTTTTTAAATAGTAAAAATTAGTATTTTTAGATAGTTGGTGAGATCTTTGTTTATTTTACTGCGCAAAATGAATTGAATAAAAAGACATGAATGGAAATCATGTCCCCCGTCTTTGAAGTTATTTGCGAGCATTACGTCTCTGCCACTCACACATGAATGGGGAAATTATTCAACCTTCCACAGTGCCCGGATTCTTAAAGAAAATATTTGTTTTCTGTCAGCTTCTTAGGGTGAAATATTAGTGATATTTTCTTTCATATGAGCTGGAGAAAAGCTTGTAAAAGGAGCGGGATCAAAGAGAGCAAAGGACTTAACATCCTTTGCGGGATGCTAAATGTGTTAATGGGATGAAGTCGTAGAATATGAATACATTTGAAGAAATTAAACTTTGCGTTGGTTGTTTTCCGTGCTGCATTTATCAATAAATTTTTATTTTTTTCATTAAATTTGAGACTTTCACAAAAGGACAATATAACTATGATATTCCTTTCTAAAATGATGTATAAATTTCGAATGGTTAATTGGGGAAGTTCAGTTAAACCAGTTCTTCGGAATGTTATGTCGTGTCATAGACGTGGAATAAATATTTTTAGAGATTGATGTTTTTTTCTATCTCATTTTATCGAGTGTGTTTGTAACAAGTTTTCAATGAATTCATAGTGATTTTATTGGTAGTATACAGTGTGAAAAATTTCAACGATCTTCTCCCACATCGCATGCGCCGTGATGTATTATACTCTGTTAGTTGAACTATGTTAAGAAATATACTCTATCTTAGGTTCAAGCTAAATTAAAATTCCTGCGAAGAAATTGGACTAGAATTGGAGAACGATTGTTTCTTTCACCTGGAAAATCAAATGTATTTCAAAGTAAAGGTTTAACAACAGCCGGAATAGATTCTAAGTAGAAGCAATTATTTCACAATAAACCTGCTTGAAATATCAACAAGAATTGTTTAGAACACAAGCGGCGTCTACGACCAGCCTGATGAAAGTAAAATACGCAACTTCTGTACATTTATTTTCGGAATCCTCAGTAAATTTTTTTCCGTTAAAGTATATCGCAATTTGCAATGAAATCGCTGGCCGATTTTATGGAATCGGCAGACAGTTTGCCGAATCCGTAGAATCAGCATTTCTATACTAAAGGAATCTGGGGTTAGGACAGACAGCCAATTTTTTTTAAATATTTAAAAATAAAGGAACTTGACCGAACCTTTTCTAACTCTAACAGTCGATTTATGTTCTAACTGTAACACTAACGTCTTTTTTTTCTGAATCAGCAACGAAATGCTTATTCTACAGATTCGGCAAACTGGCTGTGGATTCCATACAATCGGCAATTCGGCAATTTCGGCACGACACACATACTTTCACCGCGTATATTCACTCTACTTTTGTTATCTTAAGACATTATTCAAATATTGCTCTGAACTGAAGATCGCTACGGAATATTATATATATTATACGGATCGCATTATTTAAAAATGCTTTATTAATTTCAGTTTCTATTGATGAAGATTCCCAATTCCCATCCTAGTCTTTCTTTCTTCCAGTTTACTCTGGATCTTGAATACGAAAAATGCATTATTTAATTTCTGTTGCTAAAATTTTTGCTTTCCTCTTGCACTACATGTTAAATAATGATTGGCACGTAATGTTAAATAATGCTTTATTAATTTCAGTTTCTATTGATGAAGATTCCCAATTTCCATCCTAGTGTTTCTTTCTTCCAGTTTACTCTGGATCTTGAATACGAAAAATGCATTATTTCATTTCTGTTGCTAAAAATTTTGCTTCCCTCTTGCACTACATGTTAAATAATGATTGGCACGTAATGTTAAATAATGACTGGCAAGGAGCGCCGTAATATATTACTTTGTTTAGGGACCAGAAAATGGAAATGGGATCTGTAGTATTCCTCTTACATCACATGTTAAATAATGACTGGTACGGAGCGCCGTAATATATTACTTTGTTTATGGACCAGAAAGTGGAAATGGGATCTGTAGTATTCCTCTTACATCACATGTTAAATAATGACTGTCACGGAGAGCCGTAATATATTACTTGTTTAGGGACCAGAAAATTAGATCTATAGTATTCCTCTTACATCCCATGTTAAATAATGACTGGCACGGAGCGCCGTAATATATTACTTGTTTAGGGACCAGAAAATGGGATCTGTAGTATTCCTCTTACATCACATGTTAAATAATGACTCACGGAGCGCCGTAATATATTACTTTGTTTAGGGACCAGAGAGTGGGATCAGCTTCAGCATTTCGCTGGAGAGCAACCCGGAGAGTTTGTTCTCCATTGACGGTAACGGCACCGTGTGGCTGGTGCGTAGGCTGGACCGAGAACAAATGGCGCTACATCACCTCGTTGTTCTTGCCACCGACACCGGCATGCCGCCTAGAACTGCCACCGCCGCCCTGAAGGTTAGATTGTAATGTTGAATGATTAGTATTATTTTGTTTGTAAATTTGCTTGAAAACTGATAACTAACACAAGAAAAACTTATTTTTTTTTTCAGAAAATATATTTATATTATATATATATTATTTGATAAGGATTTATAAGGATTGTAATATTTGTATCCTTATATTTGATAAGGATTGTAATGTTGAATGATTAGTAATTTTTTGTGATGCCAATAGAAATTTGCTTGAAGACTGATAACTAACACGAGAAAAACTAATTTTTTTCAGACATTTTACCCCGCGAGAGGAACTCTATCGTGTGTTTAAAAATTCTTTGTAGATGATTTGAAATAAAAAAATTGGATTTAAAAATTCTTCTCCAGATTTGAAAAAATACTTACGACTATCGGCATTAATTTGGGTCACCTGGGATTTCCGGCGCATTTAAATTGCATTCATAATTGTAATTTGGTTAATGACTTCCATAAACCGTTGTCAATAGAATTCGTACGTAAATGCTTGTTTGGTAACGAGGCTTACCGACGTTGGAGGAAAAGCTTATCACCTGCCTTATGAGACGTTCCATGTCGTCATTGCTACTCGTAGCCAAGAGCCAGGTAGCGGTAGTTATTGTTGGTAGACAAAATATTGAAACGCATTTCTGATTTAATATTGGCACTCAGAAACGCGTCGGTCTTTATGATTGCATAGTGCAAATTATGTACTTATAAACGCATTGATCGTATGAAGCATGAGAAAAGTCCCGGTGTAATTACATTCAACAATACCTGCAGTGAATTATAATCAGTAACAAAACTTTCTAAACAATATTTTCCCCAAACTTTACAAATCATGACATCTCAACACCACGCACATATTTCAGCTTTGAAACAAACGTACATTTTAGGTTGCAGTCGGCGATGTGAACGACAACCAGCCATACCTGCTGAGCCCGCGCACCATCCCCATACCCGAACCTGGGCGCTCCGACCCCCATGTGGACACTCGGCGGGTGGCGTTCAACCTGACATTGACGGACCTGGATGACTGGAGCCTAAACAACGGCCCTCCGTTCCGGGTCTTTTGGCGTCGATCGGACGCTCTTCCAGACACACCAGCGCCGCGCAAGCGCATGGAAGTCCAAAGGATCTCTTTCAGTGCCGGTAAGTAATATTTGCCTCGGAATAAAGTATCTGTTGGCGTCGATAGGATACTATTCCTGACACGTCTGCACCGCGCAAGCGCATGGAAGTCCAAAGGATCTCTTTCAGTGCCGGTAAGCATTATTTGCCTTAGATTACAGTATTTTTTATTACTGATCGGACATTTATTTCGACACGCCTGTACCACGCAAGCGCATGGAAGTTCAAAGGATCTCTTTCAGTGCCGGTAAGTAATATTTGCCTCAAATTACAGTATCTTTTGGCGTCGATAGGATACTATTCCTGACACGTCTGCACCGCGCTAGCGCATGGAAGTCCAAAGGATATCTTTCAGTGCCGGTAAGTAATATATTCCTCAGATTTCAGGGTCTTTGGCGTCGATCAGACTCTATTCCTGACACGCCAGCGCCGCGCAAGCGCATGGAAGTCCAAAGGATCTCTTTCAGTGCCGGTAAGTATTATTTGCCTCTTTGGCGTCGATAGGATACTATTCCTGACACGTCTGCACCGCGCAAGCGCATGGAAGTCCAAAGGATCTCTTTCAGTGCCGGTAAGTAATATTTGCCTCGGATTAAAGTATATTTTGGCGTCGATCAGACGCTCTTCCTGACACGCCAGCGCCACGCAAGCGCATGGAAGTCCAAAGGATCTCTTTCAGTGCCGGTAAGTAATATTTGCCTCAGATTACAGTATCATTTGGCGTCGATAGGATACTATTCCTGACACGTCTGAAACGCGCAAGCGCATGAAAGTCCAAAGGATCTCTATTAATGTCGGTAAGTATTTACTGCCTCATACAGTAAACTCATTTATCTGGTTTGGAATCTAATGGTGTGCAAATTACTGTATATTACTCCTGATCTTTGATAATTCAAAGGGTTTGTGCCAAAGGGAAAACTTTTTAAGGGAAATATCATGTTTTTTTTCTCATGAATACATTTTTCTAGGATGACGAGCCCAGGATAAATCTTTAGAATATAAATTTTTTTAAATAATGAATCCTGTTTGCGAGTATCATATTCAAACATTACGAACTACATAGAATCGCTTCCGATTCCTATGGTATCTAAAAATCTTTTATCTCTGATCTCATCTCATAAAATTCCAATCACGATTCTAAACTCATTTCTTTTTTTGAACAAAGATAAAGTTTTTTTGAAACTTCTATTCATGTTGACGCATTTTATGATATACAAACAGCGAGTAAAAGATTATTTTTAATTCTAGATGATGTATGATTTAGATTTCTAAGTTACGCAGTAAATGCGAAGGCGCATTACGAGAAGCTCAGAAAATTTTTTTAAAATATTTACATTTACTTTAATGTTCTATTTCATTTTTTGTGTGCTGTTCTGAGAAACAAAATTCAATACGTCTAATGATTGATATTTATTTCTAAACGATTGATAGTATGCAGCTCGTCTGATTAGGCCTATAGGTTCTATTATTTTTAAATAGGCAAATTTGAATAAACTCTTTCATCTAATATCAATGTATCATAAATATTTCTTTGATAATCTGGAAAATTATCCTTGGGTAAAGTTTTCATCGTGAATTGCATCAATGAAAATTCATGAAGAAATAACCTTAATAGCGTTAAGAAACATGTTTATCTTCAATTACCGTGTATTTAGATGTCAGGTCAGAGTATACAGATGTACCGGAACACAGATGTGTTGATAGATGTCACACATCTGTGTGTTCACACAGATGTGTGAACTCCCATCAAATAAAGTTGTAGTTTGGTCTCATTCGCTCTTCAAAAATGTGAGGATTTCCGTTAATTCCTGACATAAATTCATGGATGTGTAGCTTAAATTTCGGTTTAAACGCTATAAGTCATATTGAAACAGCCCTACCATAATGGATTAAGGCAAAAATCATTTACTGAGAAAGTAAGTGAATGACGAATTTGATATTTGAGATATGATGAATGTAAAACTGTTGCACATTGGCATGTGATTGTTTGTTATTACGAAAATATTCACAATTGAACAAGAACATGAATTATGAATGAACTGTTAGCATTTGTAAAACTCATATCACATGTATTAGAGCATCGTAAATTTATAATCCGATGAACATGAATCATGTGGCTTTGTTTATGTGGCATCATGTTGACGGCCGTGAAAAATAGTGGATGTCAAATACACCTCAGGCTTAGTAGTCCACTATTTAAAAAAGTTAAAAGATTATTGACGCACGTTGATTCGAAGTTAAAATTACATCGAAATTTTGCCAGAATTTAATCCGCATTTCTATTCGAGTGCCGTCGCCGCAAGAATGCAAATTGACTAAGCTGAGACAACATAAAAATCAAGCTGCTACGTCCGAAATAGAGCGTAGTCATGTCATTATTCCGTGTAAATGTTTTCCATTCCACATAGACTGCACTTATTACGAGGAGACAAAAAGTTGATACGACGCTGAAATTTTTACGTATGCTCTATGAAATATTTGAAATGTCAATAACCCATACGTTCACAAACGTGCGTTCTCGTATACCTTGAACTTAATTTTTGGTTTCACTCTGACAAATAATTGTTGACAGGGCTGTCAACACTTACAACCTGGTACACAACCCTGGTACACAACACTTGACAGGGCTGTGTACCAGGGCTCATAATTTTCCTATTCGATTGGAATCAACAAAAACTTCTAAGCCGCAGTTAATTATATAACGTTCGCATCTCTATTAGGTCTTTATTTTCAAGTTTTTCGCTGCAGAGAAGACACCGAGTTGTTACACACAAATACAAATTATAATTTGTATATATTTGTATTGTATACAAATATATACAAATTCTGGTCCACATGACGAATTATTCTTCGGTTAGAAATTATAAGAACTTTTTATATATTTTCGAGGAACACTTTTCAACCTGCAAAATTTTCTTTTTCCTCACGTCGACTTCATAGCGGCGAATGTATTTTATGTTTCGCATTTATAGGGGCAAATGCATTTTATGTTTCGCATTTATAGGGGCGAATGCATTTTATGTTTCGCATTTATAGGGGCGAATGCATTTTATGTTTCGCATTTATAGCGGCGAATGCATTTTGTGTTGCACAGCCCAAACGGTGACGTCAGAAAACGTCGTACACATCCCGACGGTGGCCCGTCTATCGCTGGAAGGTCGCGAGGATGCAGGGAGCGATCTCGCCACGGCCGCCATCATCGTGGCTGATAACGGCAAGCCTCGCATGACGTCCACCATTACCATTACCTTCATCAAGGATCATCATCGAGAGAACAAGTCTAAGAAAAAAATTATCAACGTCTTTAAGATGAAGGTGAGTAACTGAGGCACGAAAATTAATTCACAGTGGACCTTCGTATCGACATATCGTTGGGGATTGGTGCAGTTAAATCATCAGTATACTGTATTGTGATCAATGAGTGTTAGCATCAGGGCTATATTATGTAGCCCCGTTAGAGGTATGGTTGAATTTCACGGACAATATTAAAATTTAATAAATAGTTTATGTGCAATCGGCGAACGTATTATTTTTTCCTTTGCTTTGTGAAAAATGCAGCTGAATTATTACATCTTTCATCTACAGAAGCTAAAAACATATTTTTTGTATAAAAATATTCACAAAATTAGGAAATCCTACTTATATAGCTCAGTTAACAATTTTCATGCGAGTTAGACATCGCAACGCTTTAACTAAAGCCAGGTGCAGTGCTGGCCTTAAGTCGAGCGTTGGATGGCAAGGCCACCAAGGCGCGTTCAAGGATCACTTGGACTCAAGGCTGTTTGATTATATACTTTAAATATGAACTATCCACACAGAGATCCGGTGCAGTGCTGGCCTTAGGTCGAGTGCAGGAGCAAAGCCACCAAGGCGCGTTCAAGGATCACTTGGAATCAAGGCTGTTTGATTATATGCTTTAAATATCGACTATCCACACAGAGATCCGGCGCAGTGCTGGCCTTAGGTCGGGTGCAGGATGGACGTGGCCTCCAAGGTCCCTACAAAGAACACTCGTGGCTCAAGGCGCACCCGTTCTTCAAGCTGGATCAGATCTCTGGCGAACTGCATCTCTTGCCCAGCGCACGGGCTAGGAAGTCAGTCACGTTATTAAGAATAGAATTGTCATATGTTTTTATTGATATTAAACTTGCTGCTCATTTAATAATATGAAACAAAACCTATGTGTATATAGATGTTGAAAGGAATTTCTATTACTTAATTATTCAATTTGATTTCCCTTTGAAGATAATAATTTATGAACTTGAAGAATAGTTACTAAAAACTAAACTAAAACATTAAAACTAAACTAAATAAGAGAGAAACCAACAACATCACATTGTAGTTCAAGATAATTCTGGTTATAGAGTTAAGTTAATTCAACGCAATCGACTTTGAACTTGCTCCTAGCTTATTAAAACATTTTGCGCAATTAAAAACACTGCTGTCTTCCAGATTTCTAAACAAAGCGTGGGCAAAATGAAAAATAAATCCCTTGTAATATTTAAATGCTGAGCAATGTTCAGAGCAAACACAGTTCCGGAAACTCGATTGTCATGAAATGGGTCTCTATTCATTGAAGTTAAAAGTTGTAAATTGCAAGCATTGTCCAAATTCAAAATTTAGGACTGCTTGTACAATTCGACATACAGCGTTGAAGGGATATTGCTGATATTGCACCTAGACATAAGAATAAAACGTAAACTTTTCTAAATATCGTTGATGAAAACTTTCTTTTTATCAAAGTAACTTTTCTCAAAATTGATTATGTAATATATACGTAAAAATTTTGTTGGATATTTTAAGTCATAATTAGCAACTGATCCGGTGGAATTTCACCTTGAAATATTTTCGATTCAAGATACCTGTTTATGATGCCATGACTGTGTGGCCTCGAAGTCTAAAATAACTTTTTCTCATGTGCCACAGCTGCTATTAAGTCGGAAGTTTTTTACGCACTGAACAGCTATATTTTCACGCATTTCCATCATTGTCACTGAAAAATGGCATCTCATCTAGGCAATCATATTTTTTCTGTTTTCTTGTTGTGGAAAGATCTATTGAAAAAATATGCATTAAAACTTCTTGAACGGAAATTTTGTTATCGACTGAGTTTTATTCAAGGCAGTTTCAAAAATCTTCAGCGGGATTTCTGCCATATAATATCTAAATATAACTATTACTCAACTCATTTGAACTGTAACAAAATTAACTAATGTAATTACTGTATGAAGGAATTAGACGATTCCAATAATCTATCAAATATGTTCATGTTAGCTGGTAAAGTTGACCTATTTCACAATCTTGAACATTCGTGATCATTCCTTGGTCATAGTGTTGAGCGTTGTACGACATAAAGTTGTGCCCGCTGAAATTAATTATTATCTTCTTTTAATTTCCACTAAGACTTAACAATACTTTACTAAGTACTAAGACTTAACTTAAGACCTAATAATACTCAGTTAACTGACAATGAGAGGTATTCTCAGGTACGACCTGGTCGTATCTTCGACTACTAGCACCGGCACTCAGTCGCTCACCGAACTCGAAGTCAACGTAGAAATGGTGAGATTATTTTATTGCATCGCCCTAAGTAATCTAAATGCCATTAGGTGATAATATTGTTCTATGAAAAAATCGTACAAAGTGATTATTATTAATTTATATAATAATTAATATTCAAAATATGTAGAGTGATCAAAAATGATGGTTACATTTGCGGGTTCATAACTATTATATTATTATTATTATATTTATTATTTTCATATTATTAAAGTTGTGATGTATTGCGCATGTCAGAAAAGGTAATAAAATTGGTTATGTGCAATTGGCGAACGTATTAATGAATTAAATTTCAATGAATTTAATATCAAGACAGCATTGCTACTTTCTCTGTATATAACAAATTTGTTTGCTATTTCGTATATTGGATGGATGGGTTGTTTGTACGTTATTAATTATGATGACGAATGTATTATTTATGATGACGCATTGATGATGATTGTATTATTATAATGCATATATAATTTGAACTGTTAATATTCAATGAATAAAATTACATATTTAACAATATTTAGGTGTCGCACATATCATACTGACATTGGCGTGCCGACACGTTTTACGCGAAACCTTATGACTCGCAGGTAACATTATATTTACATTCCCTTTTTTCATTAATAGAATCATGGCACAACGGTGGAATTATCTGTTCGTGTGAAAATCACACGATGATTTCATAGAAACAATAGCATCATACATCGATGGAGATGGCTAATTATGTGGTCGAAAATATTAATCAATCTTCTATCATTCAAAATCTTTAAGGAATGGAATTCGTTTTTCCGAATTATTTACAAAGTTCCAGTTTATGGGCATCTCTCGTACCAGTATCCATGTGTCAGTGTGTGAGTATTTATTCATGTTGATGGTTTACTTCAGGAACAACTGAAGGAAATAACTGAAATGATTTTACTTGACTTGATACTTGATGCTTGTCACGCACAGTTGACTCCGAGTGTGACAGCAAGGGCTGTGCCGCTGGAGATCGCAGCGTCGTCTACGACGTTGCTCACTCCTGACGAAGTAATTTTACGTTACTTTTCCTTTTTTTGGTTGTTGTTCCGTTTATTGGTAGTTTTTCCGTTTACTGGCCGTTTTCCGTTCATTGGTAGTTTTTCCGTTTATTGGCAGTTATTCAGTTTATTGACAATTTTTCTGTTTATTGACAATTTTTCCGTTTATTGGTGATTTTTCCGTTTATTGGTAATTTTTTCGTTTATTGGCAGTCTTTTCATTTATTGGCAGTTTTTCCGTTTACTGGCAGTTTGTACGTTTGTTGGCAATTTTTTCCGCTTATTGGCAACTTTCCGTTTATTGGAAATTTTTCCGTTTATCGGCAGTTTTTCCGTTTATTGGAAATTTCTCCTTTATTGCCAGTTTTTCCGTTTATTTTCAATTTTCCGTTTATTGACAGTTATTCCGTTTATTGGCAATTTTTCCGTTCAAATGCAGTTTTCCCGTTTATTTAAAAATTTCCATTAATTGAAAATTTTGATGTTATGTGTTCCTTNTTTATTAGCAGTTATTCCGTTTATTGGCAATTTTTTCGTTCAAATGCAGTTTTCCCGTTTATTTAAAAATTTCCATTAATTGAAAATTTTGATGTTATGTGTTCCTTATTGGTAACCTGACAGCTTGATTTGTTTATTAATTATTATAGGTGAGTCAAAATAATATATCGCAAATCAATTTTTCAAGTAAATGTTTTATTTATTAATAATATTTTTTTAATAATAGATAAATAGGTGAGAATATGTTGCGTGAAATGCCATCAAATTTTGGTAAGATATATTATAATTTTACTAAATTATGAAATTAGGCCTGTATTACCCTTACATTTCGCTCGGACATAAAACACTTATCAGCGGAACTACAGTTTATGATGGGGTATCGTTTACTAGTTTTTTTGTTGTTAAATCTTGTCTTTGAGAACCCAAAGCAACGTCTTCGGTTTTCGCTAATCAGCTAGAAAAGGAAAGTAAATAATAAGCATACTTTCAAATAATTCAGTCACGTGTGTGCTACAATATCTATACACAACTGTTTATTTGGGTGATGCATAAGAATGAATTCAGGTAAAATCGTTAATCTGTCAAGGATTAGTTTATTATTGAAATTTTTATCTCATATCTAAGACTCAATTCTACAAATATTATTCAACTTATCACTATATTTTGATTGTTTTCACACTGTTTTATCACTATAAATTTCAATTATTGCCTTTTACCCATCATTTTCATTCTTTGAAAATTTCCCTGACAGTCTGGCGACTCGCACGTCTCGCGTTTACTGAAACTCATGTCTGGCCACGCGGCGACCGCTGCCGACGTTAGGTTGGCCACGGCCGGGTCAGAGCAGGACGGCGCCGGGCCGAGCGCTGACATGCAAGTGATCTCCGTGTCAGATCTGCTCAAAACCGAGGACGCCCCGCCGGCGGCCAGAATATGGGTGGCCTCCAGTACAGAGGCTGACGCGTTAGAACTCCTATTCAAACGACGTGCTAAAGAGGTGGTGCATTTCTTCCATGATGTTTTAGGAGAAATTGAGTTAAATGAGTTGTAGTGCATAGTTATATATGATTTAATCGTTGAAATTTATGCATGCGAACATTGACCGAGATTTGCGTAATCTTGCGCAAATAAATAAGTAATGAGTAAGAAGATATACGGTTTATTGTTTTCTTGTTATCGAAAAGCATTTGCCCATAACAAATATCAAACGACTTAGCATAACTTTTTTCATATTAAAACTCCGCTCTTCAGAGATTACCATACTTCTCTTTGAACATTGGACAAGATCAATAATTATTGACAGCGGTTTCTTTCATCTTGTTCCATGATACCATCTTTACCGCTAATCTTTAACACAATTCAATATTTTATTCTTAGATCGAAAATGTGCTCGGGTTTAGCTTGCTGGGCGTTGGCACGTCTATGCTGGGCACGTGTTCCAGAGAGCCTGAGAGCTGCTCATGCTGTTGTCGGGACAAAATATCAATGAGCGGCAACTTTTCCACGGTTCAAACATCGTCGTTAACGCACGTCGGTCCTGAACTAACACTTGAGATGGTATGCGGATGCACAACATCTCGCATACACGGAAATTTATCCAAAGAAGTTGAAATAACGGATCCTTTGGTAGTGCACAGTAGTGGTTTCGAAAATCTTGCACCGTCAGCGCACGCTGTCCTCAGTGCTGAGGCCAACGTTTGCACAAATAATTTCTGTATGAACGGTGGACGCTGTTTGGTGAGCGACGATAACAAGCCAAGGTACTAATATATGGCATCCCTCATATATTTTTTTCAAGCCTATAATCATTCTACCAGTTCTCTCATCCTTAACCTTTAGCTAAACCTTGACGCACAAATCTACAGAATGTACATCGATACTGTGATAATACTCGTATCTTCCTTCGAATAGCATTATAACATTTGAAATTCAAATTAAATACACGTGTTTAGATGCCTTAATATTTTGGCAGGTGCATTTGTCCTCCCGGAACGGAAGGCCCGCACTGCAAAGTGACCACAAGACAGTTCCATGAAACGTTCCGAACTTCTTCCTCGATGTCCGGGTCCTGGTGCTGGTTGCCGCCTTTACCTTCATGTACCCGACTCCACATCAGTCTTTACCTGCTCACCAACAAGCGCAATGGATTATTCCTGTACTCAGGCAACGAGCAGTTTAATCTTTACCAGCCTTACATCGCTCTGCAGCTCGTCAACGGGATGCCTCAAGCCATGGTTCGCACATCAATCACTGGCCCTACAACAACACTCACTCTCAACGCCCCGGTCGCCGACGATCAGTGGCATCGCATCGACTTTCTTTGGGTGGACAAGGTGTTCAGATCCATTTTTTTCATAAATAATTTCAATTATACCTAAATTAACACAATTTCATTTGGTTGACTTGCTATAATTGGTTCATGTTCATTTCAAACTTTAAACTGACTCCGATATCTTTATTGAGTGATTTGCTGTATTCGGAAATTTAATTATTTAGAGCAACTCAGTTCAGTCACAGTTATTACTACTATGCAGTTATATAGAAAAAAGGAATTCACTAAGGTATCCATTATCTTGCAATTTACAAATTATACATAACCTTGCAACAGCAATGTGCTGCTTTTCATGTGTTGTACAGTCATCTTGAGGATAGTTAATTTAACTGATGTGTATAATACGTGGGTAAATTTTCTTTGCTGAGTGAACAAGTCTATGACGTTCAACTTTTTTCTACTTATTTAACATACTATCAGTGATATATTTCTTTGTTATGCGATGGACAGACTCTACTCTTCTACGTGGACCAATGCAGTTTGGGGAACCTGAATCCTTTTTCATACTCGCTCCCCTCATCCCGACCGGGGCCGCTGTCCCCTGATCACACTGCGAACCTGAACAGGTGTCGACAATCTGCCCGACTACAATCTAGCTTCAGAAAATCTGTTCTCAATTTCCCCTTGCAGCTCGGATCCAGAGACATAATTTTTAGAAACGATGCAAATCTTACGCAAACACACGAGACTTTCACCGGATGCATCTCCACGGTCCGCGTCAACAACAAGGTGACAACTGAAGTTTTGCGCTCTTGTATTGTTCAACCCCTCGCTTTAGATAAAATTTCAAAATTTATTATAAAATCGCTTTGTTGACGAATAAAAACATTTTTACTTACAGTAGTTGCACAGCGATGTTTTCCTTATGATTTTATATGATGTGTTTGTAAATTAGTTGGTATCGTGATACATCATACTGGATTTGAAACTGTTTAATGCTGTTTCCGCTGTGTAATATAAAATATCTAATGCATCTACTATTCTGATATGCATTTGAAGCAGAATATATCTGTTCAAATATTCCAATAGTGAAATTCTGGAAAATTTTGTAAAGAATTCTTTTCGAAGTTTCTAGGCTGATTGTACGACTGTCATCTTAGCTTTTGTAAATAAATACTCAATGTTACTGATATACACGAAGTCGGCATTGAAGTTAAAATGGAAGATTGGCAGTTAACTAGCGTAAGACAGACGTTGAACAATCGTAGCTCACATTGGAAGAAAGGGAGGAGTGCCTTCTCTGCGCCTAACAATAATGAAACAATAACACATTCAAGTAAACTTTTAGGTAGTCGAATAACTCAATATAAACGCGATTGTAATACCATTATAAAATATCTGCCGCATCATGCCTGGAAATAGCTTGTCAGAAATACAGCTGAGCTTCAAAAAGTCGCTGGAAACTCAGGTGTTCTCGATACTTGGGTTAGGCTGGATAACTTGGTTTCCATGTGTATCAGAATATACGATAGCATCGTTAGACATGAGTATCTTTAAGTAGAATAATTCGGTAAGAAAAAATTACATGAACATTTACATTACATTACATGTCCATTGAACTTCGTTTCTCATAGTGACTTTACTAATATTGACAAGAATTATTAAATTGTGGTCAATTTTAATACTACGATGTTCAATCCAAAGTATACTCCGTTCAGGTAATTAATAACATCTCTTTATATTAGAGTGGTTACATGTATATTAGGATGAAACTATAAATTCGTGAACTCTTCATAGATTTTCACGGACACTAGAACTGCTAGAATTCGATGCAGAGCACAACTCTCGCATGCGCACCCATTTTGCTCAATATGCTAAAGGTTTAAGTTTTTCGAAGCAAACTTTTGCAAGGTCTGCATTCGCTGTGTTTGCATATTTCTGCCTAACTTTGTCCATCGCGTTCACTTTTCCGCCGGAAATTATTTAGAGGGTATAGCTCCAGCCTTACTTTATTCGGCGTTCATATTAGCAGCGTCGTGTTATTCCGTTCCTCAGCTCGCACGGTCGCTTTTTTTACTTCAGCAAAGCAGTTTGCAAGTTTGATTCGTCAATTCTTCGCACTTTGCAAGCTCTAATGATGAAGTAAACATAGTTTTGTACGCTTGATTCGTAAAGTTCACACAAATTGTAAATTCGTTTCATGAAATCCAGTCAGCATGCAAGCTACAATCATGAATTCCATACAGCATGCAAGCTCCAATCATGAATTCTTACAGCATGCAAGCTCCAATCATGAATTCCATACAGCATGCAATTTCCAATCATGAATTCCATACAGCATGCAGGCTCCAATCATGAATTCCATACGGCATGCAAGCGCCAATCAGGAGTCAACACAGATTGCAAGCTCGATTCATAAAGCTCACAGAGATTTCGATATTAATTCGTCAAGTTCACAGAGATTGCGATATCGATTCGTCAAGTTCACAGAGATTGCGATATCGATTCGTCAATTTAGTAAGTTAACACAGTATATAAGCTTGATTAGTAGTGTCCACACAGCAAACAAGATTGTTTAATCAAGTCCACGCAACTTCGTCAAGTTCACAGCTTGTAAAAATTGCGATATCGTTTCGTCAATGCAGTAAGTCCACACAGTACATAAGCTTGATCAGTCCTCGTTTAATCAAGTCCACACAGTCTGCAAGCACGATTCATCCATCAAGTCCACTAAATCTTGAGTCTCGCTGTGGGGCTAATAGCCTCTCTGAAGAAGTTCGGCTGAAGAATATTAGTGCTATGAGTTAATTTAGGAAAAGTGATCAAACTTCAAATTGCCTCATCAAGCTTCCAGGTGCTTGGAAAATTATTCCTTGATTTATGTGAGCCTGTCTCCAGATCATGAACTTGTGAGGATGATTAATTTTTGAAAAAAATTTGAAATGATTCGAAGATCGGTTAGCTGCTCAAGTTAAAAACCGCTAAAATGTCTGCATAATTATAATATCGTGCTTTCGTAGTAGAAAATAATGGTGCCTCAACTTTTATTACGTACTTTTCATGATTTTTGTTTTCAATTCATGTAAGCTTTAATTAAATTCATTCCCCATTGTTGTTCCTAATGTAGTAATTAATCATAATGACATTATGAGTCATGATCATAAATACTTATACATTTAACGCTGCAGTCTGGTACGAAAATTTGTCTCTGATGTCCATTATGCTTAATTTTGATTTCTATCGCCTATTTGTAGTCGTCCGATATTCTTGAAAATATTTGTTCTTTTGTTCTTTGATTTTGGCAGCTTTGCACCTTGTAAATCACATGATAGGAACAGTAAATTAAAAAAAAGTTTGATCCGGATGATAATTATTTTTCACTTGCCCCGATGATTTATCTTTTCCTCCCATCATCGCGGGCAGCTACAAGACCTGGGAGCGTCTGTCGTGGGTGAAGGCAGTCGTCAAGGTTGCGGCCGACATCGCTGCTTATTACCAAACTAGGTAACTTGGCGGGCTTTTTTCCTTGTAAATTTGCGCCATAAAGATGATTCTAAATGTTTCCGTAAGGGTTTATTACCAAACTTCGCTTGTCCTTCTAATTCCAGGTAACTAGGCAGGCTTTTTAGCGCATTTTCTCATTTATGTAAAAAATGCACTAGTGTGCTCGCCATGTCTGTCTGTCCGTCCGTCAGTCCGTCCGTGACTTCACGTTTTCGTCGACAAGAAAATGCGCTCTCTGTCACTCACTGAAGTGAGTGACAAAATGTTTCCGTATGGATCTAGACGTATAATGGCGAACAAAACGTAATAATTTTTGTTCTCCGAGTGATCATAGAGTGAATACATTATAGGATTGTTTACATAAATTACAAAGAAAGCATACAATTCTTTCAGCGAGAGGATATGTCATTAGAAGTTGATGGCCATTTTAAGGAAATTTAAATTAGTTGATTGAGATCGGTTACTATATATCGAAATAATGTCGTAACCGAAATGTGCGCCTGGCTACTTCACGGAAGAAACGTTCAGATACTGTGATGTACAACCTAGAATGTTGTACAAATATCTATCTAAATTGTGATAAGAAACGCATTATAAATATTTTAAGGACTATTTATATAATGTATAGATAGATTAGAAATCACATGATTGTATGCTTACTGGCTGAGCACATTATCCAAATTATATGCACCCATTGAAATTGAACTGAAATACGCTCAAATAAAATTTATGCTCAAGTTACATGTCATGGAATTCAAAATTCAACACGCAATTGTTTACTATTTTAAAGTTATGGGATCAGATTCGACAATAACGTTTATACAAAAATTATGCCTATTTTTAATCTATTAATTTAGTTTCATGCAATGCATCGCAATCGACAATGGAATGTTGTTATGTATTTAAATATCATAATTATTGCCAGATGTGTGGGCTCGGATGAACGCCGTTCATGTGTTTGCAACGCTGGTTTTGAAGTCGACTCCAATGTAATGTTGTTATGTATTTAAATATCATAATTGTTGCCAGATGTGTGGGCTCGGATGAACGCCGTTCATGCGTTTGCAACGCTGGTTTTGAAGTCGACTCCAATGTAATGTTGTTATGTATTTAAATATCATAATTATTGCCAGATGTGTGGGCTCGGATGAACGCCGTTCATGTGTTTGCAACGCTGGTTTTGAAGGACTTCGATGCAAGCAGAAAACAGTTCCTGCAATGCTCGCTGAAAACAGCTTCGCTCATATCGCTCTATCGTTCTCGCCTCAACTTTACTCTAATGTCATACAGTTCAGGTAAGATATTTATATTTCCGTGAGTCACACTGAGAAGTATCATCACTTTCTTGGCAGGTTAAGGAAAATAAAGTTTTAATTCTATTCTTTATTTTCACCTCGTACACTGATCAAGCTAATTAATGATGGACACCTTATAAGTTATTTCAACTTTGCGCGCGACCGTATTTCTAGCTTTTGTTAAAACGAAGAGACTCGTGACTGGTTTAGGTATGAGGTATATTTTTTCCTGGGGAAATTCATGATTTGATTAATATTCTTTCACAAGTTCTGGTAAAGGATGCATATATTTAATGGATTCACCTTTAAACACATACTAAAAGTTACAAGATTTTCAGGAGCAGGCTTGTTTGATCTAATATACAACATTTTCTATTATTAATTTTATGTATTCATGCATTCATATTCTCAGTTCTAGAAATTTCAAGACATTATTATACGAAAAGTTTTTAATTTTCTTCACATTTTTAATTCAGACTAGAGACTTCTTTTTCGAACACGTAATGCAGGTGTTGTGAATTTTCTGATGGCGATGGCTTGTTCTTTGACGAGCTCGATGGTTTTTTCTGAGCTGGACAGATAATATTCCTTCGCATCTACAGTATTTCTCGTGCAAAAATATAAAAATGTCTACTTTTATATTAAATGATGACGTGTAACAATACTGACAGCGTCAAACAATACTGACAGATCATAATTTGTGGAATTATATTTTTTCGACGAGATCTGACGACCGCTGCATAAGTGATGATTGAAGTGCGTATCTTTTAAGACCTTTTTATTGATGCGAAGCTCTTCGGAGCCACAGATTATTTATAAATTCTAAATTGAATATAATGGGCTCTGGAAATCCCAGTAGCCAGTCATGAATGCTTCGCGTTCATTTTACTTTGCGGGAATAGTTTTTTTTTCATGTTTTTTTGCATCATACAGAGTTAGATAAATGTATTTTTCCTGGTTTCCATGCACTTTTTCATCAGAATCCGTACTCGGGAATCTTTCGGTCAATTTCAGGTGCAGAGCAAAATGACCTACACTGTATGTACACTATAAGATAACAAGTTTTACTGCATTATACTCTATGTGATAATTAACTTAGAGAGTGAGACCTAGCTCCAGAATAGTGACACGTTCCCACGAAAGGAAGGGGAGCCTGTGCAAGGTTCCCCCATTTAATTGTATTTCCATTGGATTCGTGCAATTATTCACCAGAATCCGCACAAGGGAATCTTTCGGTCAATTTCAGGGGCAAAGCAAAATGTCCTAAACTGTATGGTACACTATATATAAGATACACTGTTAGAAAAAACGCTGAAAAAACAGTCCCACTGGCATTCTAGTGGCCGGTCGCCCCGTAAAAATAAACTGTTTCGCCATTCTTATCAGACGTTTTACGGATTTTTAGTGTTAAATTAGAATAAAAACGGCGACACGGTGTTTCTTTTCACGTGCCGACCGGCCACTGAAACGCCGGTAATACCGTTAACGGTAATTTTTCTAACAGTGTAACTAGTTTTACTGTTTTATACTCTATATAATAAATACATTTCCCTGGATTCGTGCATTTATTCACCAGAATCCGCACAAGGGAGTCGTCCGGTCAATTTAAGGGGCAGATCAAAATGACCTACACTGTATGTTACACTATAAGATAACTAGTTTTACTGCATTATACTCTATGTGATAATTACATTTCCCTGGATTCATGCATTTATTCACCAGGATCCGCACAAGGGAGTCGTCCGGTCAATTTAAGGGGCAGATCAAAATGACCTACACTGTATGTTACACTGTAAGATAACTAGTTTTACTGCATTATACTCTATGTGATAATTATATTTCCCTGGATTCATGCACTTATTCACCAGGATCCGAACAAGGGAGTCGTCCGGTCTAATCGTGCTGCTGAGTTCGCAGCATCGGCTGTCGTTCGTGGCGGTGTTGCTGGAAGAGGGCCGCGCTTGCCTTAAGTTCTCTGACCCTCCGAACTCTCCCCTCAGCCTCTGCCTCAGAGATGCCCTCAACGACGGTACCTGGCATTCCGTGACGGCTTCAAGGTAACGAGTTTGTAGTAATTTTTGTCTGAGTTTACTTACATCATATGAGGCATAAAAAGTTTTCCCTTATGGCCGTATGCATGGTAACGGGTTTGTAATAAATTTTTGTTCTGCGTTGAGTTACATATTTCTGAAAATTTCCAACGCATAGGTAATGTTCGTTCGGTTTTATGCGAGAAAATTATACTTACAAAAATTGTACATGTATTCTTTCTATTCGTCTAAGACTCAATTTATGATTGAATTTTTATATTAAAAACTTAGTATAGAATTACATGAGGTCAGAATGCTTTAAATTATTATTTCTTTAATGAAGCAGTACTTTTCCATGTCATGTTTCAAACTAATTTAGGATATTTCATCATTCATGCCCCCTTCACGGCACTCAACACCGATTAATTTCTTTAATATTATTATATAGCAATAATCTCCCAGCGTGTCTGGAAGACTTAATTAAGACTAGACGGTCACGCCTTGCCCTTACCGCCGTATCATTCATGTCTCCTTAACAGCATTTAACACCTATTAATTCCTTTAATATTATTATATAACATTAATCCCGCAGCGTGTCTGGACGACTTAAGGCTAGACGGCCACGCCTTGCCCTTACCGCCGTATCATTCATGTCTCCTTCACGGCATTTAAGGAATGGCTTGGAATGGCTTAACACCTATTAATTCCTTTAATATTATTATATCACAATAATCTCGCAGCATGTCTGGACGACTTAAGGCTAGACGGTCACGCCTTGCCTCTACCGCCGTACTACAAGTTCACCAAGTGGGGCGCTCTCACGTACGAACAAGGCTTCCACGAAGGCTGCGACGCTCCCGACGCCTGCGTTAACTTCACCTGCACCAGACCTCTCGTCTGCAAGGATACGTGGAGAGGAGGATATTGTGGGTGAGATCTTTTAATTGAATATTAAGTATAATTTTAAATATTTGATTTCAGGATTGGCAATGAGAAGTTGTTTTAAAATGGTTTTTGGTCAATTTAAGTTAACGGAATTTGTTTACCATCGAGGACTGAGTGTAGTAATCTAGTAATAAAGAATGAGTATATAGAGGAATACTAATTTTTATTCTGATGTCATATTGGATAATTTAATTACAAGAAATAATTGCCATATGGCATTCATCTAAATATGTATAAAAATTAATTTGTTTGTTATTTGAAGGCTCTTGACTCAGTGGCACTCAGGAATGAGTAACGTAGAAATTGATTAGGATCTGATGAATTGCATGATCCTATTCAACAACTCAGAATTTTGCTGATTGCAGAGCTTTGCTGATCGCAGAGCTTCCGGAAACTTACCCGACATGAATAAATTTGTGATCAATGCGGATACCAAACTTAATTTAGGCAGAGATTTAAGAATATAAACACTACACAAGCTTATTCTATTGTACTTAATTATGCTTATCATTTTCCCCTTATCATTAATATGCTTATCATTCTGTAAGTTGTCCTGACGGCCGTTCGATGTCCCCTGACCGGACGACGTGTGAAGATATCAACGAGTGTGTCTGGCGTCCGTGTTTCAACGGAGGATCTTGTGTCAACACAGCGCCAGGTGAACCACAGTGAAAACTATTTGTATTAATTAATTATAAATTCATTCATGCTCTTATTCATCATTCATCTGCGTTGATGAACAAAAGCACGCGATGAAGGATTAATATATTTGTGTTGATGAATAAAAGCACGCGTTGAAGGATTAATATATCTGTGTTGATGAATAAAAGTACGCGATGAAGGATTAATATATCTGTGTTGATGAATAAAAGTACGCGTTGAAGGATTAATATATTTGTGTTGATGAATAAAAGCACGCGTTGAAGGATTAATATATCTGTGTTGATGAATAAAAGTACGCGATGAAGGATTAATATATCTGTGTTGATGAATAAAAGTACGCGTTGAAGGATTAATATATTTGTGTTGATGAATAAAAGCACGCGTTGAAGGATTAATATATCTGTGTTGATGAATAAAAGTACGCGATGAAGGANTTGTGTTGCTGTCTCTTATACACATCTACTTCGCTCCAGTTTCGTCAATAATCCAGATATTATTTGCAGAGAATTCGTACCTAATCGTGATTTCAGCCAACACCATAAAAACTCATCAACTTTTGGCTCATTGGTGTTGACTGAAATCAACTTTTGGCAAGGCAAGAGTCAATATCTCGATAAGGGATAAGGGATCGAATAATAACTTGAAGGGATCGAATAATAACTCGATAAGTGATCGAATAATAACTTGGATCGATGTCGATCCAAGAAGTTGCAATTGTTGTCGTAACACAATTGATTTTTACCACTTAATTTTCGTCTTTATTTTTTGTTTATAGGTTATGCATTAAGAATTAATTATAACCCATAATTTGTTTCACCACCGTATTTTTCGCCGTCATTCTTGACGCTAAGACTGAAACAATTAAAATTTATAAC